GAAGTCAATGAAAGTTTTGCCACCGACTTCACTGGGAGCAGGATCAGAAGCTAAAAGAGCACAAAGCCTTAAAAAAAGTCTGTCTTTTAAATTTACACATTAAATTTGCTTTCCCTCAATAGAGATATGTACTCCAGCGCTAAACAAATACTGAAGCCATGCGGATATCTGAATGCTCATTAAAACTAATTGCTTAAGGTGATCTTTTCCAGAATATGTTGCAACAAGAAAGCCAAGATCGGAAGTTTGCATTTCTCCAAAGAGGATAAGTTGGGGGGGGAGGGTAATAGATGTATTCATTCGAATTATGCTAAAGTTCCAACATTTGGAAACTATTACTCTTTATAACTATTTATCAACAGAAAAGGGGGAGAGGGACATATAATAAGACATTGAAACCCTACATAAAAACTGACCCAGAGCTTTAGCTGAGCCAGACAGAACCTTCTCCGAGGATCATATTTGTTCATTATTTTGCTTGCACTTTCATCCAGGATCAGAGAAGGAACAAAAAAGCTCTAGGAAAAGCTATTATCACAGGTCCTCCGTGGGTGTAAATGGGGAGATGCTAACTGACACTAGATCAGGATCTGGCCCAGTGTATTTACACCACAGCCTGAAACAAGACAATACTGTGTATGTAGCACCTTGGGCAGGGTCACCTGGCTCCCTGATTTGCATCCCCAATGCTCTTTGGCTATATACGTTCACATTTCTAAGTTAAGTGTGGGACACTTCGGGAGGTCAGGTTGGGACTAGCCAAAAATATGGCTCATAATGTCACAAGGCATGTATCATTGAGGTCATTGTTCATATCCAAATTCCAGGGTGCTAGCACACAGTGGCAAAGTAATTGTAAATCATATCTGCCAAACCTCCCACAAAGCTTATCATTTCGTAATATCTGTCACTCTGTGCTTATGCCGCCTCTGCAAATACCAGCAATTGCCTTTTCCCCTCCTCCCAAGCCAGAGGTATTCAGCCCAGGATCTGTAGCCACTGGTGGGCCACAAGACACTCACTGCTCTGGGCACGTCTACACAGCAGGGCAACAGTCAAATTAAATACGTAACTTCAGCGATGTCAATTGCGTGGCTGAATTCGACATAGCTTAATTCGGCTTTTTGGAGCTGTCTGCACAGCAGGAAGTGGAAGGAAGAGCACTCTTCCTTCAACTTCCCTTACTCCTCATGAAATGAGGGTTACAGGAGTCAGAATTAGAAGTCCTCCAGCTCGATATTATTTCAAAATAAAGGTTTGCCGTGTAGACGTGCATTATGTTATTTCAAAATAACGTCAGTTATTGAAATAACGCTGCAGCGTACACATAGCCTCAGAGACCCAGCTGGTCATATGGGGTCAGTCCCTCTTGCTGTTTTGCAGTTGCTAAATTGCATTAAAACAGCTAGAAATTCATTAAATATGTCCTAGTGGCTGCCACAGAGATGTGAAGCAGGCAAAAATGGGAGGGGAAAGCACCAGCAAGACCACCTATGCATTGAATTACAATCCACACTCAAAAAAAACTAATGAGGGTGACAATTCTCCAAGCAGCCTCTGGATTGGAGGACAGGGATGGGGGTCACACCCACTGGATGACTCTCCTTTGTGAGGTCACTGCTATTGGTCAATGTTAGTGCCTCTGTGACTGGCTTGGGATTGTGATTGGCTGGTCATCCATAAAGGTGGGCTGGGAGAAGTCAGTGGGGACCAGAGGTAATGCTAAGTCCCACTGCTTCTGTGTGTGAGAGTACAGGTTACACTTCATGTTCTATGATTTGCCATGCGACAGTCTAGACAATTGTGCAGGTTGTTTTGCTTGAGAGAGTGTGGGTGTGGGGGAGCTCTCTTTTTTGTCCTCCTCCTCCCCAGCACAACCTGCAGAGTCACGGCAACCCTCGCTCCGCAGTAAGTTCTGCATTCACTCCAGGAAGGAGTGGGAGGGCTATGAAACACAGAGAGCTAATTCAGGCCTGGGAGCTGATTTTTATGAGCCACAGGCTTCCTCCACCTCTGCTTGGGTGGCAGGCAAACCTGGGGCTTCACAATGCTTCTGCATACAGTATACGGTTTCACAATCTTCACAGGATTTGGCACTGTGGCAACTCACACAAATACAGAGTATTCCTCTTCCCAGATACTTGTGCCAGTTACAGCTGAAGCAAACACTCTCTATACTTTATATTTTACTATTGATTCCCTCATACATCTCTTCCTCTTCCATCTGCTGGGTATCTCTTACACAGGATTGTAACAGGTCTTTCTTGTTGGCCTAAGGAACTCACCCTGACTGGTAGTATCTTTGCCCTTGAAAGGTGCTCTACTGTCCTTTCGATTCCTGCCGTCAACCCGTCTTGCTCACAGGTTATACTGAAGTCTGTTTTTAACACAACCAAATTGTACATTTTCCCTTTTCAAATTCACTGAGTCCCCTTTCAGCAATCATCCATTTCTCTCTCTGAGCTCACTTAATAATGCATGACTAGGAGCTAAGGCAGTTTGTTCTGCGACATCAGTAATCACATGGCGTGTATCCTCTGTATTCAGCATCAAGTTACTGTCATTTGGGAATTCAACAGATGGAAACTCTGGGATTCTTTCCATGTCACTTCTGCTTTGGAGGGCTCCCAGTATAGTAGAAGATTACAAACATGGCATATCCCAATATGGGTGCCAGCACTGGGGGCGGGGAGAAACATAAGTCACTGTTCTGAGGATCTGCTACCGATGATGTTAAAGTTTGCTCTAAGCTGCAAGTCACTGTCTAACTGCATTTGCAATCTCACTTCTTTTCAAAACACTTTTTTATTTCTAAAATAAATGACATTGGTTTTTTTTCCCCCATCACCTTCTCCCAGCTAGCTACATAAAAAGCCAGACATGTCCCCTGCACATTACTCATTAATTTCTCTTCAGAGTTCTTCATTTTATTCAGTGTGACTCGTGGTAGCTCATCAAGATGCCCAGACATTTATTTCTTCTTTGTTCACAAGGCGGCATGGGGATTTTTTTCTAATATTCCTGAAGCAATCGAGAAAAATTCTGTGCTACAAAGAAGCCAGAAACACAATACATTTCACCTACAGCCTTTGGAAATGTAAGTAGCGAGATATTGAAGTATTTAATTCCCACTGAAATAAATGGGAGTTAGGCACCTGGATACCTTTGCCCTACTTTCTAGACCTGGTTCACTCTAAGTAGCTGGGCACCTGGTCCTGGAGGGGGTGAGAGCCCAGCGCCACAATTGTGGAAGGGGCAGAAGGGGGAGGACTGCGGCTAGGTTCACCCCTCCCTCCCCCGTCAATCCTTCAGTGCCATCCGGAATGCACCACCTGGGGCTCTGGAGTGTGCCATGCAGGCCTTCAGTGGCTATTTAAAGGGCCAGGAGGCCACACCCTTTTGAATTGCCAGGCCCCAAGCCAGATGTCCCTTCCCCCACCCCACCCCCATTGGTGGGCCTAACTCTAAATTTTCTCCTTGTTCACTCTCCCCAAAGAGCAGAAGTTCATCTCCCACCCCCACGACCCACAAGATTGCTCCATCAGCCTGAATCAAAAAAATCTCAAGGGGAGCACGTGAAAGGAAATACAAGCTGGTCAAATCCAAAGTGTATGTAACAGCATCAGGAGAAGAGGAAAAGCCTTGGAGTTACAGTGCATGACCCAAGCACTCACTTTCTAGAATTCAGGCGTCTGTCCTCTCAGAGGCTTTGTCTCCATTAGCCTTTTCCCCCTAGGACTTCCCACCACTGCTTCTACAGCTCAACCTGTGGATGCACTGGTGAGGAGCTGTATTGTCATTAAGATATTTGCAGCCTCCAGTGTTCGTACAGTAGAATCTCAGAGTTATGAACAGCTCGGGAAGGGTGGATGTTCGTAACTCGGTAATGTTTGTAACTGAACAAAATGTGATGACTGTTCTTTCAAAAGTTTAGAACTGAACATTGACTTAACACAGTTCTGGGAGTTAACTTTGCAGAACATAAGTACTGCTTTCCCTTTATTATTATTATTTTTAAAGAAATGCACATGTAACACACCAGGCTGTATTTGCATTTTTGCTTTGTTTTGTTCGGTCTCTGACTGCATACTTCTGGTTTCTTATGAGGTGTGTGGTTGGCTGGTCAGTTTGTAACTTTGGTATCTGTAACTCCGAGGGTCTCCTGTCCCTCCATATCACCTAGAACCTTTTATATTTATTATGGGAATGCCCAGAATGCCCAGCTGTGACCAGGGTCCCACTGTGCAAGAGATGGTACATCCACACACAAAAAAGAGTCCTTGCCCTGAATAGCTGGTTACCTAAACAGCCAAGAGAGACAAACGACAGGAGGAAAAAGAGCCAGAGGTCAGTGAGGAAGCCTGCCCAAATTCGCCCAGAGCTACAGTCTGTCATTCTACTGCCCTAGTCACTGGACATGGTGGTTAAAATACTGGCAGCTCATTAATGCTTTCCACTACTGTTCCCACCTGTTACCTCCCCCGCCCACCACCACACACAGAGCTGCATGCCTGTACAGAGACATTTTAGAGGAAAAAAAAAAAAAGGCTGGTGCAGCCTCAGTTTCTAAGATTCTCTAAGGGACACAATGAGCATTGAGTCTGCTGGGCCATCTTCCATTGTGTGTCCCAGCTCACTCCGCAGTGAACAAATCTGTATCTCCTTTCACTACCTACAATGGATCACTTCAAAGGTCCCTTTGAACCTGGGGAGATGTTCAAAATACCCACAATCCTATTTGCATACCCCTACAGGTATCCACACTGTGAGCAGACACCCTTTATGCCAAAGGCCCTTTCGAATGCTAAATAGATTTTTTCAGTCCTTGCCTGAAACAGACCAAAAAGCACCTCCTCTTTTTGTCATCCTTTCCAAAGGAATTAAATGGTATAAATCAATCCAATTTGTATCAGACGGCTCTTGGATAGTAACCCAGATCATCACAGTAGGAAAGGAAAATTACGTCTGCTCGCAGAATCCTCTGAGGCAAAGTAAGCCAGCATCATCATGGAGAAATGATCTATCTTTCTCGTTTATGTTTTCCTACCTCCACTGCTTTTGAGAATTATAACTAGGGAAGTATTTTCCAAAGAAGAGCAACAATGGCAATACGAGCATGAACTATGTGGAGGAAAGAGGTGGATGGGGTAACTCAAGAGGAGAAAAGCAATGCTGTATAAAGAAAGAAGGAACCAGCAGTTCAACTGGATCACTTTATTAAAACATAAAAAACAACAAATGATCTGGTAGCTCTTTATAGACTAACAAAACAGGTAGATGCTATAAAGTGCTACCAGACCATTTGTTGTTTTTGAAGTTTATCCTGTACAGACTAACTTGGCTACCCCCTGAAGCTTTACTAAAACAAACACACGCTAGTAATTTTTCCAAAGTATGTAGTGGTGTATTTATCAAAAACAATGAAAATGACTTTAAAAACAGATGATCAAGATAAAATTCTTAATGGCTACAGTTAAGTATTTAAATCCATAATTAGACCATAATCTTGTGAAGACTTTTTTAAAGTGACAAATCTGAGGGACTGTCCTAAATTGAGAGGCTTGTAGAGGAGGTTTTGGAACAAACTGATAAACTAAACAGTAATAAGTCACCGGGACCAGATGGCATTCACCCAAGAACTGAAATGAGAAATTGCAGAACTACTAACTGTGGTTTGTAACCTATCCTTTAAATCAGCTTCTGTACCAAATGACTGGTGAAGAGCTAATGTGACGGCAATCTTTTAAAAGGGCTCTAGAGGTGATCCTAGTAATTACAGATCAGTAAGTCTTACTTCAATACCAGGCAAATTGGTACAATCTATAGTAAAGAACAGAATTGTCAGACACATAAATGAACATAATTGTTGGGAAACAGTCAACATGGTTTTTATAAGGGGAAGTCATGCCTCACCAATCTACTCGAATTCTCTGAGGTGATCAACAGGTATGTGGACAATGGACATCGTATACTTAGATTTCCAGAAAAGGACAAGGTCCCTCACCAAAGGCTCTTAAGAAAAGAAGCTGTCGTAAGGACTGATAATTGGACTCATGGACTGATAATTGGTTAAAAGATAAGAAATAAAGGGAAGGAAAAAAATGGTCAGGTTTCAGAATGGAGAGACACAACTAGTTGTGCCCTCCATGGGTCCGTACTGGGACCAATCCTTTTCAACATAGTCATAAATGAGCTAGACAAATGGGTAAATAGTGAGGCTGCAAAATTTGCAGACGATACAAAACTGCTCAAGATACAGGCAGTCCCCGGTTTACGTTCAAGATAGGGACTGTAGGTTTGTTCTTAAGTTGAATTTGTATGTAAGTCGGAACTGGTACAGATTATAGGGGAAACTCTAGCCAAACATTTCTCCAGAGCTCAGTTTTATTCTCCCACACCTCACTTCCCTCAGTCCTTTATTCTCAAGCTGAGGTGTCTGCTGAGAAAAGCCACTCCGCGTCTCCCTGGTCTGCTGGGGGGAAGCAACTAGTGCGGGGTTGCCTCACCCCGTTTGTAAGTAGGGATCTGATGTAAGTCGGATACATGTAACCTGGGGACTGCCTGTAGTTAAGTCCAAAGAAGAATGTGAAGAGCTTCAATAGGACCTCATAATGATGAAAAATGCACAGTAATGCATATTGGAAAACGTAACGCCAACTACATGTATAAAATGATGGTGACTAAATTCACTGTTACCACTATTCATATAAGAATGATTAAGGGTATGGAACTGCTGCCATATGAGGAGAAATTAATACTTGGACTTTTCAACTTGGAAAGGAGACAGCTAATGGGGGATATGATGGAGGTCTATAAAATCATGACTGGGATGGAAAAAGTAAATATAGAAGAGTTACGTATGCTTCCCATAACCCAAGAACTAGGAGGAGTAGGGGTGTCACCAAATGAAAATAGGTAGCAGGTTTAAAACACACTAAAGGAAGTACTTTACACACCACACAATCAACCTGCGGAACTCCTTGCCAGAGGATGTTGTGAAGGCCAAGACTATAACAGAGTTTGAAAAAGAGCTAGATAAATTCATGGAGGTTAGGTCCATCAATGGCTATTAGCCAGGATGGGTAGGAATGGTGTCTCTAGCCTCTGTTTGTCAGAACCTGGGAATAAGTGACAGGGGATGGATCACTTCCTGATTACTTGTTCTGTTCATTTCCTCTGGGGCACCTGAGGAAGATAGAATACTGGGCTAGATGGACCTTTTGTCTGACCCAGTATAATCATTCTTATGACTGATGCACACTTAATTTTTTTTGCTCCTACGAGTAGTTTATTTGACTTCTATGAGCTTATCGGCAGAATGTAACATTATGCATGTGTGGAAATCTTTGCAGGACTGGGGCTTCCTGCATCCGTGTAAGTGGTCTGATTTTCAGAGATGCTGGACAGAGCGAGTATTTGCAGAGATAGCCCATTACATTCTATTTAAAAAGTCCAGTATATCTGTTCTATGTAGTCTGCCATCTTTCTAAATAAGCAGAAAAGACCTGCTGTCTTCCTGATTTAATGACAATTCAGGCCGGTTGCTTGTTACAAGACCTATAGTGAACTTGCAAGGGATAATTTTTGGTTTTCTAAAAATGGAAAAACCTGCACTGGGCCTGTAAGGAGTAACCAAGCCTGCCTGGCTGAAGCAGCCCCTCCCCCACAGCCCTGCTAGGCATGCTCCAACTGGAGGACTAGTATAAAGGCCAGTGGAGCTGCTCAGTCAGGACTGACCACCGCTGGGGAAAGAGCTGCCATCAGAGCCTGGGAGGAGAAGGTGCAGCAGACTGATGCTGCAGCAGAGGCCAACCAGCAGAGACCAGCCGGGGAAGCTCCCAGTCCAGAGGAAGCACAACAGACAGACACTGCCGCAGAGGCCAGCCAGCAGACACCAGCTAGGGCAATGCCCAGCCTGGAAGATGCAGGTGGCCATGCTACTAGCACCTTACCTGATGTGCCCAGCCCAGAGAGCCTACAGGTCCCTGGAGCCCCACAAGGCACTGGAGTACCCCCGGGTCAAGACAGCCATATTAGATCAAGCTGGGGTCAGCCCTGAGACATACTGCTGGCAGCCGCAACAGGAACGGTACCCACTGGGAGCCAGGCCCAGAGAGGTGGCCCAGCAATACCATTGTTGGCAGGGACTAGAACCGGACCAGCGGATGGCAATGTAGGTAGCCAAACTGGTAGCCCTGGAGCAGTTTGTGCAGGTCTTGCCTATGAGCGGGAAAGAATGGGTTCAGCGGCACTGACACTCGCTGAGGCCATCTCCTTGACAGAGGACTATATGGCCGCCAAAGAGCTCTGCTGATAGGCTTCAGACCCTGCCCCACAGGGGGCTGGTGTACCTGCCCTGTGGCACCATGGCTCTCAATATTTTAAATTAGTAGCAGTCAGTTGGAAAATTTTGACAAACTACACTTTCATTAAAACATAATTGCTAGCAAAAGTTACCCAAAAATGAAGCTGACATATTAAATGACCGTGAAGTTTTGAAAACAGCTCTAATTACTAGTTTAAAAGCATATACAATGAGTGGAAGAAAATACAGATAAGGGACTAGACCTTCAAGCTGGTGTAGTACATCATAGCTGTATTAGAAGCAGAGGCATGTTATGCGCCTGGGGGCAAAGGAAAAATTTGCACCCTCTCCCTGCTGCCGCCATGCTGTGCGGCCCCGAACCCGGCGCACGGCTGAGCCCAACCCTGGGAGGAGGGGGCGGAACTTGTACCATGTCCTCCTCCGCCCCCTTCAGTTTGGGGCCAGGCCCCCACACACACTAACCTGCTCAGAGAGGTGGGGAGGAGGCTCCGGCCGGCAGCGGGGGGCGGAGGAGGAGCAGGCGAGCCGAAGGATGACAGGGGGAGAGGAGGAGACTAAATTGGTGCCCCTTAGTGTGGCGCCCAGAGGCAACTGCCCAGAGGCAACTCCCCCCCGCTATGCCACTGATTACAAGTCCAGGCTGATTTACAGCAGCAAAGAATCTGGCCCAGAACATTTCATAGAGCACTGACTAGT